CAGCATATCCAAGTAAGTACCACCCGATCTGCTTGGATCTGTCTCATGATGTCACATCGCTCTAATCCTAGGAGACGGCGGGGTGGAACCCGTCTGCTGGCGGCACTGTCGACACCAAATTGGGAACCGCAGCTTCTCAGCGTTTTGTGTCAACCTTAACAAGAGTTTGGTGAGCCGTGATCTGCACGCACAGATTTTCTTTACGCTAGCTAACTAACAGCAATGCAAAGTCCATTTACTGAACGCTTGCTGCTGTGATGGGTGTGTGACCTCGGAGGCCCGAGCATGAGCTATCACGGCATACGCAACGGGTCGATTCGGTGCGTATATTGTATCTGATATTCCTCGAAACTATATGCATGCCAATAGCTCGTGGATACTGGCGGCACTTCTTCGTGCCAGGACCCTTCGACGCCTGCGAGTTGCCAATGTGGCGCAACATATCGTAGCACACTGCCTAGCCCGTGGTGTTAACAGCTCATGCAACTAGTAGGGGGGTCTTCTGCTGGGGCCGCATCCGATTCGAGGGCACGGTGAGTCTGCTCGCGGGAGGGGGGGAGGGCTCGCCGCCTTCTGGAGTTTAGACCGGCTATTCAGAGCCGTACTTCGAACGAGTCATAAGTGCGTTGCCTCTCGCCCATGTTTCACCTGATAGATTCATCAATTGCAGAAGTCACACGTTCCACGCTGGTAACTCTGGGGCTGGGCTGTGGCGGTCATCTTGGCGCTAGTGGAGTCAAGTAGCACGCCCTCCTGCACCAGCGAGACTTCGCCCCTGCGCTAAGATCTTCTGCAGCATCTACTAGGCCCTGAAAGACATAAAAGCCCATTTGGCGAACATGGTCTTGTCATTCCATCTCTTAAATTCACCTCACAGTCTTCTACAATGAGCCTCTTTCTCAGACGAGGGATCACTGAGGACTATTGCCGCTCTTGTGGGTATCCACGGCTCTGTGTAAACGCGACCTGTGGCGGGCGATAAGTTACTCAGCAGATGCAACAGAATAGGAGCTCTCTTGACTTGAAACCCAAGCCTGGAACTAAGGAGAGCACAGTCGTGGTTATGTAAGTGTACCTGAAAGGGGTGTAACCCAAAGCGGACTCAGCGGCGGGGTTACACGAGTCTGCTATATAGCTATGAACGACAAACTTATATCAAGACATATTGGCAAGTGGGCGCACGCTCACCAGCAGGTCCTCAAGGACAATGGAGTTGTTAGACTCGCCCTCGTGTAAGTTCAGTGAATATCACTCTTCTGAGCATATGTCTTCACGGATACTGATACTGCTGCTACGTGTACTAACTTGAATAGGTGTCCCGCCCACAGGAGCCACTCTTTCTCGGGCAAACCCCACTATACTGTCAAAGGGCTCGGTGCCGATGGCTCTTTGAAGCTCTACATGCACATCAATAGCCAGAATGATACGGACGGAGAATGGTTGGTACCAACTCCTGACGCCATCGCAAGGCAGTAAGTCACGTCACGGTTTATTGATTTCCAATATGCGTATTGACCAAGTTAACACTCAAGTGCTGCTTCTGCGAGAGGCAAAGCATGCAAGACCATGGAAGTACACTTGGGGCTTGAGATCTGACGGGGCCGACCTTGGTACCACTAGGAAGACTGCGCTATGAATTTCCTCTGATCCTACAGTAACTTTGAAGGCTTGAGCAATGTTTGTCGGTAATTTGAAGATTGCATTCCGAGCTCTATTCATTAGCATGTGACCAAAAATCGCGAGTCCCGCCACCATCTAGAACGACTTCTCAGAGCTATCCACTTCGACGCTCGTCTTCAGATTTGGCGCCATAGGCGAGTCTGTGCCGCACAGGGTATTATTCCACTTGGCGTAAAAGTTAGCCGTGTCAGATAACGAGTGCAAGTGATCCATATCTAACATTTAGTATACTCATTACGACCATTTCGATATAGGTACAACATTGGGCGTATAGTTGAAACCGTGGTGAGGAAAACAAGTGTCTATTCCTCTGCTTTCAGGAACATCGCCCGGGATGTACTATGACTTGTTCGTCAAATCATCGATATGGCCTTAAAATCCTGACGAACGCGGAGACGACCGCGAGAGGTAACATATATCATGCATATGTCTCTGCAACTCTGCCTCCGCTGAAGGCCATCTTCGTACTAGAGGCTCCGACTATGGGCTTGACCGCGTCAACGGCTGGACGGCCTAATCCGTATGTGCACTCGGCAGTGGCGCAGGTGATGCAGCTCTACATGGCACGATGACACTGTACGTTCCGGCCCTCTACAGGGCCACCCTAACATCATGCCTTGGTCAAGAGATCGAAGAGTATATCCCACCCTGCGACGCGCTTCAGTCGCAAATTGTACGTTCCGCTAACGCTGATAGATCTCAACCAGAATGCTTAGTACATGTACTACTGCACTGTGCTATCGTCATACTTTAAGGCGACCTCGCATGCGAACAAGACCGGAGTAAAGCTGCGGAAGTGGGAGTCTCGCGCGCCCTCACCAGACGGACGATCGCCCTCGTCGCTCCTACCGAAGAGGGCGAGCCTGCTGCTGTTTCTCCCACTGGCCAAGCGCGGTAGACACTTGGCACACCTGCGCCTTGTCCATTTACAGTGTCTCTCTTCCTTCCGCTGCCCCCTCAGCAGAGACTGTCGTTGCTCGTCACACTCGCATCCAAGTCCAACATATCCAAAGTAAGTGCCTTCTGATCTTACTTAGGTACGTCCCATGGCAGCGACATCATTCTCATCCCGGGAGGCGACGGAGTCGACTCACCTGTTAATGGCACAGTCGCCACTAAATTGGGTAGCTCAAGCTCGCATTCGAGCTCGATACGGGTACCTTCCGCGACCCACATGCATCTGGGAATATGACGGCCCGGATGGGAGTGTTGGGACTTGGTGTTTCTAGCGTCGCGGCGAGGTGGGAACGGATTGAATGGGAATTTTTATGCCCTTTTTTCAGGATGCGAACAGCATCCAGACGGCATTACAGCTGAAGCGAACGCAGGTCGCAGAGTCGCTTGTTGCCGTTCGGCCTGAACGACACATTGTAGGGACCTTCGTCGTTCAACCCCTCCTAGTCTGTTCCGCACTAGTGAGGTTAGACAATCATTTCCCTGACGTGTTGGGCTCACGTATCGATGCTATTACTGGTGGTGCGGGAGGGACGAGGGGAGGGGAAGGCATCAATGGTGATGTGGAACCGTCAGGCTTGGAAATCTTCGAT